GACTTGAAGCAGTGTTAAAACGACTCCAGCACAAAAATATCACCATGAACAAAAAATAAATGCGAGTTTAACAAGCAGAGACTCGAGTTCTTCGGTATATATTTTAGTAAAGATGGAATGTCAGCCGACCCCAGAAAAGTGGAAACAATCAAAAACACAAAGCCTCCAAAAACAGTGGCTGAAGTAAGAAGCTTCCTTGCTATGACAAACTATGTATCACGTTTCATACCGAACTACAGCACTATAGCCGAGCCAATACGTCGTCTAATCAAGAAGAATGCAAAATGGGTATGGCAAAATGAGCAAGAAGAAGCATTCATCAAACTTAAATCCATTCTGAGCAGTGACACTGTAATGACTTACTTTGATCCTAATAAGGAAACACAAATAATTACAGATGCATCTCCAGTCGAAGTGGCTTCAATTATGCTCCAAGAAGATAAAGTTGTGTGTTATGCAAGCAGATCACTGACAGATGTTGAACGAAGATCTTATAGTCAACAAGAGAAAGAAAACCTATCATTAGTTTGGTCATTAGAACATTGGCACATATACTTATTTGGACATAAATTCACAGTCATAACTGATGCAAAATTCCTTGAGAATATCTACAATAATCCTAAATTAAAACTTGGATCTGCAAGACTGGAACGTTGGAGAATGCGCCTGTTATCATATGACTTCAGGATCGTGCACAAACCTGGAGAGTCAAACATGTCAGATTATCTAAGCAGACATCCAGACACAGGACAAGGCAGCAAATCAAGCATAGCTGAAGAATATGTAAGTTTTCTTGCATATCATGATGTACCTGTTGCAATGAACATGAATGAAATTATTCAGGCAACTTCTACGGACAATGACCTCCAAATGGCCATTAAATCCATAAAGACGGGTTGTTGGAGCAACACCCAATAAAAAATAAAGTATTTGATACGTTCTCTCGCTGTAAGAATGAATTATCGGTAGTAAATCTCCAGGGAGGTGAAATTTTACTGCATGAATCAAGAATTGTTATTCCTAGGCAGTTGCAAGATAAAACGATATTATTAGGTCATGAAGGTCATCAGGGAATTGTTAAAACCAAACAACTTTTAAGAGAGAAAGTGTACTTCCCAGGCATGGATCAACAAGTTGAAAATATGTGCAAAAGCTGCATTCCGTGCTTAGCAGCAACAAATTCAAAACAGCATGAACCTTTAAACATGAGTTATATGCCAAAATACCCTTTTCAAATGATTAGTTTGGATTTTTGTGGCCCATTTCCAGATGGAAAATATCTGCTTGTACTAATTGACGAATATTCACGTTTTCCTTTCGTAGAAGTCTTAAATTCCATAACAGGAAATACAGTGATCCCTGTGCTGGACAAAATATTCTCAGAAACGGGAATTCCTGAAATTCTCAAGTCAGACAACGGCAGTCCTATGAACTCTCACCTATTTAAAAGTTTTGCAAAACACATGGGCTTCAAACATAGGAAAATAACCCCATTATGGCCACAAGCAAATGCTGAATGTGAGCGATTCATGAAAACCATAGGCAAGTCAATACGAGCTTCTAATGTGCACCATACAAACTGGAAACAAGACATGTATGCATTTTTAAGGAATTATAGATCTACACCACATGGGACAAACGGCCGAAACCCCTGCACAATTGTTCTACGGAAGGCCTATTAACATCAAAATTCCCCATGGTTCAAAAACAAAAGAAATCTAAAAATGACATAAAGGCCAGAGAAAATGACAGAAAAATCAAAACAAAAAATGAAAGAATACGCTGATAAACGAAGAAACGCTCGAAAAACTGAAGTTAAAATAGGCGACAGTGTGTTAGTAAAGCAAACCAAACAAAACAAACTCACAACTCACATACGACCCTAAACCGTATGAAGTAACCAAGAAAAAAGGATCAATGATAACGGCAGAGCGAGAAGACAAACAAATCACTAGAAATTCATCACATTTTAAACGTGTCGGCAACTCTCAGACCCAAAGTCTAAATGGAACTTCTCCCTTAAATATCGAGGGTGAACACAGTAATACAGAACCAATTTACAACGAAACGAGCATAGAATCACAACCCGATGAAAGCACAATGTTTGAAACTTTACCTACATCAAATGATTATACTTCTTTGCGAAGATCTGAAAGGCACAGAAAACCACCTGACTATTTGAAGGATTATATGTGTAAATAGTGTAAAACAGTGGCATAATAATCCACTAAAAGTTAGCTAAATTAGTGAAAACCACCTGTATATATATGACTATTTAGAAGAATAAATGTGTAAACAGTGTTAAACAGTGGCATAATAATCCACTAAAAGTTAGCTTCAACTTAAAAGGAACATTCATTCAAACAAATGATTATTTAAACTGTCGATGTACACAAACATTCTAAACAGGGATTTAATATAACTGCTGATAATCATACAATTCTTTACTATGTGCTTAAATCTCCAGAGGAAAATGGAATACAAGTATAAATGAAACATTCAATTGACATTTTGATACTTAAACTAATTGTGTATCATTTAGATTCTATCTTCAATCTTTATTCTAATTTGTTTTATTTCATGCTGATAAAACCTGTTTGTATTCTGTAAACATTGACAATTTACTCAACACAGTTTAGACATTAAGTTAATTTATTGGACTACGGACAGTCAGTAACTTTCTAGACTTATTGCCTCTAGAACATAAACTGAGATTAAATGTGATAGCAATCAAGAGACTATCATTACTGGATATAAAATAATCATTAACTTGTAGTGGCAACGCCAGCTTGAAATAAACACCTGTGAATCAATGGATATCTGAGACAATAACATGACTGTCAGACAAATAATTAATGTCCTTCATTAGGACTGACCAGTGAACTTTAAACCTAAGCAAGGCGGAGATGTAGTGTTGTTAGTATTTAGAGATTAGCTCCGCCTACTTGATTAAATATGCACACTCTGAGAACTCTCTCTCTCTGAGCCCTCTTTGATAGACAGTTTAGATTACACATGCAATGTAGCAACATCTCTGTGAATACTCTTGTAAATAAATCTTAGAATAGAATGTTTATATTGAGTTTTCAATACAGTACAGTCCCGGGCGGCTCAAGTCTCAGTCAGGCTGCATATTTAAAGTGTGTCTTTACACAATGTTTGTATAACGCTATTGACGTCATGTCAATTATATGCACAGATGTGCAATACCATATTTACGGAGTGGCAAAATTGGCACCGGTGTGTGATAAAGCATTATATTATCACACACCAGTGCCGATTTTGCGACTCCGTAAATATGGTATTGTACGGCCGTGCATATATTTTTATGTGACGTCATTAGCGTTATACAAACATAGTGTAAAGACGTGCTAAATGTTAGTGTTAAACTATAGGCGCGTCGTTGAAAAATGACTCTGATTTCACTTTAAACGGTCTTTATTTTTAGTATGTGTTAAATAGAATATTATATTAAATTTGTGTATGTTCATTACTGAATTTATTGCACTCATTGAATAAAGTAAATATTATGCTCACCAGAGGTCGCATAATATAATTTTATTCAACTCGTGCAATAAATTCAGCATTGAACTTACACTCATTCAATATCCTCTTTTTAATACATATTAAGCGCACGTCAATAAATTTCAATTTTAAGTGATATGAAAAATATTTTCTGTTGCGCTGTCTTTGTAAATCCAATAACTTTACATCACAACCGGTTTCCTTATTTTCCTCATTTTTTTCCTCTCGACTACTGTTTCAGACCTAAAATAAAATTGCGTTCTTAATATTTATATATACTCATATATTGTAATGCCCTAGAAATTTTACCTTTTTTTGTGATTTCACTGGATTTCAGTAGACTGTTTATTTCTACTTTCACTTTCGTTTTGAGAAGATTTTACTGGCGACAAGACAAGATAAATCATGCGGTGTCCTAATGAAACATACAGGACATCAACTTAAATCTACGTATTGTGCCAGCAATTTAATCATTCCTGATTCTGGAAGCTTTTCCCTTAATGTTATCCATTTCCCTTAATGTTATCCGTGGTAGAATCCTGTGTTTTTAATCTGTTTTCGTGACTTCTGTCAAAATAGTTTATTCCTTTATTTTACACTCAAGATTATATAGTTCGATTGTTTATCATGCAGCCTCACTTAAAATATAGATATGCCTCATAAATCCATCTGAATTTAATTGTTAGCGCTGAATATTTATAAAAATTTGCAATGCATAATTCAATGTCGGCCATGTTGGACTATTACGTATAGATTACGTAGTGAATGCAAGGGATATTTATTTATTTGATTGCGCATAAAAAGGAACACGTTATCCTAACTATTTTACTTTCGATATTAGCGCACGATAGCTTATAAATATTTCTAAAAATCATTTGTTGAGGCTGTGATAAAAAATTAACTTCGGTGCTAGGTTGAGTGCATTTCAGTTCTTACATAAACTCGTTTAAAATACATTTCTAGCTACCATACAGTATAGATCTAGATCTATATGATAATCAAAATTTATCGCTAAACGATCTACATGTAGCTAAAGTTGTTAAAAACCTAAAATGATTACGATGTTTTAATAAAGGTTTAGAAACGTTTTCATTTTGCGTGCGTTTTAGCGTGCGTATATCGTTTAGCGTATTTCGTTTAGCGCATATCGTTTTGCGTGCGTCTGCGTATTTCGTTTCGTTTTGCGTGCGTATAACGTGCGTTCGTATAGCGTGTAACGTGCGTTCGTATAGCGTGTAACGTGCGTTTTGCGTGTAAACTGACACGTTCACCCTACTGTACATAATCAGTTGTTGGACAGTAACATGATGTATAGTATTTAACGTAAAAAAGTTCTTACAAAAATTGAATAAAAGAAATTATGACGTACTGACCGGCTAGGTAAAATCATACTTTCAGATTATCTAGTGCGTTATCATACAATTTTTTTAATGAAACAACTTGACATTAATATGAAGCTGATTTGATCATTTCAGCATCACCTGGAAAACCCTTAATCTCAGATGTCGTGCAATTGAATGCTAGTCGTGAAGTTGTTAACGGAAATGATGGACAATGTCTGACAATACAATGTACTTCAACTGGAGGATATCCCTCACCAACGGTAACCTGGTATAAGAACAGTATATCTAGCTCTAACCAATTGGCATCTACAAGTTCAGGGACATTACAAAGTGACGGTACATATACTGTCAACTTACAACATACATTTACACCTGCTACATCAGATGATAGGATATATTTGATATGTAGATCGTACTATCCTCAAGCTGATAGTGCTAAAGTCGGATCAAACAGCAAGTCTGTGTTACTTTACCTAAGATGTGAGTATTGAGTTTTAATAATAATATCTGTCATATTTTGCGGTTCGGCCCGGGGAAATACCCGCCCCAAAGGGGACCCGCCTTTGGGCGGAAAAACGAGGTTTCCCCCCGAGTTACCCCCAGGGGCGGGTTCCCGAGGGACGGAAATATTCCGATCCAAACCCCGAAAAAAATATGTTAGATTTTTTTTTTCTTGATTTCCCTGCATATTTTTTCCCATTTTTTAAAATTTTGGTTTTTCCCTCAATTTTAAATATATAAATCAGGGAAATTAAATCATTTCCCTCCCAAGGGATTTTCTTAAAAAATGGGGTATGATTTACAATTTTAAAATAAAAAACAAGTGAAATAAACGTCATCAAAAGCACCATTTTCCCCCTTCTAAAAAAACGTCTTTTAAAACGGGGTTTTTATTCAAAAAGTGGGCTAAAATAAACTTGTTGTTTGGCACGGGGCGACTCGCCCTGGAACCCCCAAATCCCAAAGATGAAATTTCCAGCGGGTTTAAAAAACCCCTGGGAAACGCCGCCCGATTTTGCAAAAACTTTTTTCTTATAAAGGAAAAAATCCCCAGAAGTTATTAAAGGGCCGTAAAATTTTCCTCATATTTGGGCATTTTTTTGTCAATAATTATTTTGCTTAAAAAGTGAAATTTGCCCAAAAAGGTATATTGAGAAAAGGGGGAAAAGTAAAACATAAATTTTAAATTTTGCCAATAAATCCTTCAATTTTGATATTTAAGTTCCAAAAACCCAAATAATTTAAAAACCAAATCCAAAAAAAAATTTTCTGAAAACCGTTTTACATTAGAATTTCCTTTAACGTTTGGTTTAAAAAAAGGGAGTGGGGCAGTTTTTAAAAAATTTTTTAGGCAAAATTTAAAATTTTTCCCTCCAAACTTTTTCCCTAATACAATTTTGGTTTCAAACCCCAAATATTTACAGTCCACCCTTTTTAAAAAATATAAAGTAATTCAGCTAAATTTGGGACTCTGAAAATTGAGCAAAAACTTTCACTTTAAGGTTGCGATGGGAAGGGGGGGAAACCAGGGAGGTGGGTTTATATATATCATTCTAAAAAAATAAAATTAAAATTTTTGGGAGAGTTTGCCTTTTTAAAAATTTTTAATTTGTGAAAGATTCGATTTATTTTTCATTAAAAAAAAGGAAAGTTCAAAAAAACCCAATATCCCTTTTAATTTTTGATGTTTTAAAACTCTTTTTTAACTTTGCAACCTAGAATACTATCAAACAAACTATTGATTTTGCAATTATGTAAAATTTCACAAAACTTTCACGCAACTTTATAAGGAATTCATTTTTTTTTTCAATTCAAACGAATCATGATTAATATGATTACCATATAAGTGGTTTTTTCTGCGGTGACTTTATTTCTGCGTTTTCTGCGGTCAGTTTCATGACCGCAGAAATAAAAACCGCAGAATATTTTACTCACCTGCTACGATATGTGTCCTGCATTATGACCTGTTTCGTCTACAGTAATAACGACTAACGTATTATAACGGTAAGGGGGTTTTCAAATTGTATTTAATTGCTGTAGGCTTATTATGTAATCTGTGTTTTTAAAGGACGTACTAATTGTTAATGATGCTAATTTAAGAATATAGCTATTTCAAACCATTTCAACCCTTATACTGCTAAATAATCGTTGTCTACTATAATTGTCATCTGATTTACGGTCAACTGCTATCAACATTTTAATTATACAATTAAAGATACTACTGGGTTATATTTTTCACACGTCATTTCACGATGATCAAAAGCTGCATACCTTTCTATTGTTGCGCATTATATTTGTTTGCAAGCAAACAGTACATTTGTTTGTAATTACTTTATTGTTTTGCGGTGACGAAGCTAAACAAATGTGTATGTGCGAAAAAATAGGTTGAGAAATGTGACTTAGATTTTGATAAGACGAGTCGCAGAATTTAAATCACGTTTGTCCAAAGAATGTGCCGCAGAAATAAAGTCCGCAGAAATAAAAACAAGTAATATAGGATATTGATCCTCTCCCCCACCCTAAAAAATAAAAAAATAATTTCCAGTTATACCCCCTTTTTTTATAACCTACTTTTTTAAAATAAAAAAATTTTATCCCCCGGCGTGATTCGAACCCGCGACCCGGAAAAATAAAAAAATTAATAGACACCGCACATAATGGCACCTTTAAAAAAAAATATTTTTTTCTTCTTATTTTCTGAATGAAGAATGATTTGACACGAGAAAAAAAAAATTTTTTATCCCCGGCGGGACTCGAACCCACACCCCCTAAAAAATTTAAAAAAATTAACCTCTAGAGGGATCCCTTTGAAAACATTAAAATTTTATAAAAAGCAAAATGCAATAATACCTATTACTATACTTCCTACTATTAATGCTGTTTTTTTATCTTCGTGTTCTATTGATATATTTTTTTCTTTTTTTTCTATTCCATCTGACACTTTAACTAAAGATTTAGCTATTTCTTTATGTTCTGGTAAAGATTTCTTTGTTGGCGTTCCTTTAATTTCTGTATGTATAATTGTTGGAATTGGTTGAATATTAACATCATTATTCAATCCAAGCTTTTGATAATCAGTTGCTACTATAATTTTATTATTATAATTTTGTATTTCTCCGATTCTTAATTCCATATCACTGGGTGTCATATATAATCCAATTCCAAAAACATAATCAACTTTACTTCTTGCATATTTTAACGTGTTTTGATATCTTTTAATTTGACTCGGTAAATCTACGGGACTATTAATTGCATCCTCAACGTTTTGCAAGAAATTGTTTCTGCGCATCAAAAGCTGTTCCTGTTCCGAGTATATCCGTTCTAGTTTGAGATTGTGAACCAAGAATAGCCCAACAATAGGTTTCTTATTGATTTGTTAATCCGTTGAACACCTGCTCTCGTAAAACCTTCTGACTTATCGAGAATAAATGTGGTCCAAACATCCTTAACATCATCTTCTTGTTGAATATAATCAATATGAATTTTCTTTGGCGGAAGATATTCACATGATGAAATACCACATTTTCTTCCACCTGGAACTTCAGGCCGAATGTCATTTTAGAAAAATCTAAATCAGATGATGTGCTGCTAGAAATATGTTTGAAGAATAATCATGTCTAAAATCAGTTCGTTTCCATGCAGAGTGACTAGTTGTGTGAACTAATCCTAAACCATTTCCACTTTTATACATTTTTTGTTTCCAATCTGAATGAGGGTCTACATTAAACTCTTTACATATTCTTTCGTAAGCACCACGGTCATAACTATTGTTGAACGCATTCCAACTTTTATCTTGTGGTAGAGCAATGCCTAATTCAAATAATATTCTTCTTGTTTGGTAGTAAACGTGAAATAAGAAATAGTGAACCGGTCAACCCTCCTGCTTTTAAATGGTTGTTAACATCTATACCACAACCTGTAGTAGCACACCATATAGCGAAGTTTAATTGATTTTGCCAAAACGATAACCAGTCTGCATTCCATCTATTAACTATTTCATTTGATGATATTTTTGGGTAATAGGTAATTTTCAAATATATTTGGGAAATCCGCATTAAAACTTTTCTTATCTGATGAAATAATAACGGATTGTTTTATTATATTTATAGGTTTTTTAAGATATATTCCTCCTGTATTATAAACTACTTCTTCGTTGTATTTGAAATTATGTACTGTCATTTTTATTCATTAAAAAATGTATCAAACAATTTCAAACATTGAAAAACACTATAAATTTACTACAATATATAGATAACAAATGTGGTAATAAGATAATCGGATTAAAGAGTTTTACTTATACTATAGGTTGGTATAATTTAATTGATGAATATATAAAAAAAGGATTTTGATAGTCCTAACAAGATTACAAATGGTTATTACAGTTTTCAACAAATAGTAGATATATTTGACAATTATAATATTACATTAACTGTAAATGAAACAAATGGTATTGCCTCTTTTAATTACTTCAGATAATTTGAATATAAGTAAAGGTTTAAAAAAAATATTAGGGTTTAAAAATAAGAAAAGATTTACTGCTAATGAAACGAACTATGGTGAAAGAACAATAGATTTTGCACCTTAAAACAACTATATGTTCATCTTGAGCAGGATAAATAGTTCTTACAATTTCTTTGATGGTGCTCCTAGTAATATTCTTTGTGTTGTTCCCGTTGAAAATAAACCATTCGGTGATATTGTTCATATTAATTTTAGTAATCCACAATACAAACAATTGACACATGGTTGATATTTCTGAATTAAGTATAAGCGTTTGTGATGAGAAAGGTCAGAAAATAAACAACAATGGATTAACAATTAGTTGTGTTTTGGAAATTATATAGTTTTTTTTTTACTTTTTTATTAATATAATTATTAGCAGCTGCATACAACATTCCGGCAACAAGAACAATACAGGCCATAAATGTTCATCAAACCAGGATACAACTTTACCGCGGGAAGAAGCAGCAACCCAACGGAACAATAGCAACGATAAATACCGGGTAATGCTTCTGGCAGCTTTTACCAAGCTAGAGTAGCTTAACAGTTTTACAAGATATTGATAATTGGTTTTTTTATCCGTCTTTTTCAAAGCCCTTCCATCTTTTGGAGGAGGCTTTAGGTGTTTATAGTTCCACCACCGGTAGTGGAATAAAAAATCTCAACAAGTATCAACCCAAATATATCCGAAAGCATTAAAACACTAACACATTTCTTTGTATTCATTGTTCTCTAAATAAGGGTTTTTATTCTCTTCGGCTTGTAGTGTCTTCTTTTAAATATTTATTTTTTGTTTCTTTATCCTATTTACCTGACTACGTAAAATTTATTCTATTAACATTTAATCACTTCCAGTTTGCACTTTTTTTTCAAACTCCAAAAATGCTCTTATTCGGTACTTATTTCCCTTTCTATTTGGAATTCATCATTTTGATTTGGCTTGTTCTAATTTACGGTTTTCTTTTTTCTATGTTTTATTTTTTCATTCAATTTGTCATTAATTTGCAATCTCCTTCTTTTACAGTAGTCATTCGCTTTGAGGACACCACATTTCCTTTTGTCAAAATCTTTTGTGTTTTCTTGTTCGTCAGTAAATGATGTTTCTATTACTTTCAAATGCAGTTTAAGCTGCATAAAAGGTAAATCAGTCTTTTATATTATCAAAACATTAAGGTAGACATCTTTCGCCTTTTTGCAAAAGTTTTAGCCGCGCTTGGTTGCTGATAATGTTTTAGTTGTAGTTTGTAATCAGGTAAGCTTTTAAATAAGTCTCTAATTGCATTTGCTCCACCACTACCAATTCAACTCGCCAAAGAACTCAAGTTTATAAAACTACACCTTTGTTGGCAGTAATTTGAATATCTATATCACCTAACTTTAAAAATAGTGTTTTATTATCAGGACCAAGTTCAAAGTTTGAATATCAATAAATACTGGGTCTAAACCATACTTTTCTTTTATCAACTTGTTAATATTCTTTAAACTACATATTGTTTTCTGTTTTACTATTAATTGTGTTTCTTGTAATCAACATCATCACCGATATCTTCAATATGAGCACTTTGGGTTTTGTATAGTTCTATTAAATTCATCCATCCTCATCTACAATTAATTCATTATCCTCATCATAGTCATCTTTATCAAACGCAGAATTATCAAATTCAAATCCGCCTTCAGCCATTTTTATTACTTAAAAAATATCCTTAAAAAATTTCCCTTTAAAAATGTCGGCTTTTGGAGAAAAAGTTAAAACCGCTTAACAGAAAATTAAAGAGAACCACGTGGTTATAAGAGGAATCGTCAAAGTGTTCGTTATAAACCAATAACCATTTTTTCTTTTTTTTTTTTTTTTTTTTTTTTTTTTTTTTTTTTTTTTTCAACTATTGACCAAAAAATCAACAATTGTAGTGAGATTTTCCTGAATCTAAGTAGTAATGCGTGTATTGCTTCCCGGACTCAGTCAGATTAGCATTTGAAATTGAACTAAACTTCTAAAGATGTAAATGCAACAGGTATAATCAAAAACCATAGGAAGATCAATAATTAAAGAAACAACAATTAGAATAAGTGGAAATGAAGTTATGGTCTATGATGAAAGCGATATTTACCATTGTTTATCACCAATTTATGGAAGTCTCCCCCCTGAACGTTTAAATATCGGCCTATCAAGGTATCGGAAAAATAATATGTTAAAACACAGAATTGGTGCTGCAGATGCTTCATCAGACAAAGAAGACGAGGCTGTTAGCAAAAGCATACAAGAACAGATTTTGCATCCCACTTGATTTGAACTAGTAGAAAGTCATATGCCATTTTATCAAGCTGGTCTCGGTGACAGACTCGAATATGAACTTACTTTCAATGATTATGAAAAAGTTATTAAATCAACAGATGCTACTTCAAGTTATACAATCAAAAACATATGTTTGGAATTCGATATGGTGTCTGACCCAGAACTTGCAAGACAAATAAGACAACAGGTAGATGGTAAAATGGTTTTATTTTATATGATAGAAACTCAGACACAGAAAATAACAAAAATAAATCTGATACGCTTTGGAATATTAATCTAAAAGTTCCTGCTAGAAGTATGAAAGGTAATTCTAGATGTTAATCGAAGACAGCCAGATAGAAACATCAACTGAAACTTATTACAACCCGAATATAACAAAAAGTAGAAATGAACAATAGAAGGAGTCCGATAACTATACAGTCAAGGAATGAAATCTATCAACAGTGGGATGAGATAAATAAAATTCTTTGCTTTGAATTCAAAACGAAATAAAGAAGCAAGTATGATTGTAACAAGATTTATGTTTCACTAGTACAACATTAGAAAAATATCATAACCAAACAATTATGCATTATGGTTAGATTTACGTTCAAACGGGATGATAACACACTCCATGGTTCCGGAAGAAAAGTAGAGAATGCATCAGACAGGTATTACAATACAAATCGCGGAGAAGAAGGAGAGCGGATGAACCTATAAATGTTTATTTATATATTATAACAAGATGCACAAAAATTAATTTTGAAGGATGGTAGATTTAAAGAAATTAGTTATTAAGCGAGTAAGTAGAAAATGGAACTACCTAAATATCCACACTGTGCAATTTTTTGCGGTCAAACTGGCTGCGGAAAGACTGAATTTGTTTTAGACTTACTTGAAGATAGATATAGAGGTGTATTTAAGCATATTGTTATACTTTTTCCAACCATTCAATGGAATAAAGCATACAAAAATCGTGGAGTGGATTGGTGATGTCAAAAATCCAAAAAACAAAGAATGCTTATAATCGTGAAATCCGTTAATCAATGGTGAAGAGAAATTACAAGAAACTATTAAGAATATTCTTCAAAAAGTACGCTGGTTCTCCTACTTTATACATCATTGATGATTGCAGTGCTACAAAAGAATTAACGAAGAAAAAAGATATGCTTTCGGAAATGGCTTTCTCAGGAAGACACGCAGAACAATCAGTATGGGTTATATCACAAAGATACAAATTCAGTTTTAAAAGATTTAAGAGAACAAACAAAATGGTTATGTATGTTTTATATACAAAAGATAGAGATAGTTTTGAGAATTGTTTAAGAGAAAATGATGTTGTTCCACATTAGAAGAACGACAAAGATTAAAAGAGGAACTGAAGAAAGAAAAACATAGAAAATTAATATTAAAAACGAGACCAACCTACTAATTATTGGGTAGCTGGTTAAGTAATGGTCAGTAATACCTTCAGTAATGGTCAGTAATTATCAAAAATACTTTAGTAATTTTTCAGTAATTTTTAGTAGTTTTTAAGTATTTTCAGTAACTTTTAGGTAATTGTTCAGTAACTTTTTAAGTAATGCTGTGAAAGTAATGCTTTAGTAATTTTTAGTAATGGTTAAGGTATTACCACGCTCAAATTAAAGTAAAATTTAGTAATGGTTTAAGTAATGGATCAGTAATTTTAGTGTATCGCTTAAGTTACGCTTGAAGGTAAATGCTTGGAGTAGATGCTTTTCGTAATTGTTTAGGTATTATATAAAATATCACCATTAAAAACAATGCTTAATTGAAATGGTTATACTGTAAGCAATGATAATGTGCAAAATATTTGTAGGTTTTATCCCACAACAAGTTATTGATTGGATTTTATTTAAGATTTAAACCGAAAAGATGTATAACGACATAAAAATGGATCTGCTAAAAAATTCTAAGAAGGTGAAATGTTCGATAAAAAAACAAAGATCAAAATAATGAAGCAATGAATAAATGAATTAGATGAATGAAACTTGATAGATGAGCGATCAAATTTGTTGCTGGGGAGGAAGTAAACAATATCTTGGAAAAAGAAAGCCAAAGGTGTCAGACAATTGGATGACAAATGACACCAAACAAAATAAATAAACTGATACTGCAGATTATGAAAGCTAAGCATTAGGAGCAAAGTAGGACTAAGAACATTTGGAGAACTCTTTTATTTAATTTATGATGTTAGGGTGTACAAGAATATTAATGTAGTGGGAATCCCCCAAAATTAATACAGCATGATTTAGAAGAAGACCATTTGTAAATATGCACTGAATAGGCATGTTGTAAACTTTATTAATAGATGATGGAATGTACCGTTGCTGCGCTTTTACTGCATGTTAACAGACAGCAAAACATTTATTGATTTGTAATAAACCTCCTGATGAAATTACTACAGATAATGAATTAAAAAATATTACTATAAAAAAATGACGAGTGAAAAAGTTGAAATTATTATGCCGGATGAAAAAGAAAAAAAACTAAGAAAAAACGAAAAAACCCAAAAAGAGTATCTGCAGGTAAAAGAATTGCAGCAGCAAAAAAAAATAAAAGCAGAATTAAAAAGAAAAGAAAATGAAGAAATAAAGAAAGAAACATAAAATTAAAAATCTATAACAAAAGATGATGATGATGATGAAGTTAAAAAAGTTAAAGAATTTCCAAGTTTAAATATAAACAAAAATTATATACCTTTATGTCTAATTGGAGTTGCCGGATTGGGAATATATATTTATAAGACTAAACAAGTTAAACATGTGATACAAACAGCAACCGTGATACAAAAGCAACTACCATACAAAAAAAAAGAAATTGAGTCAAAAGAAAATAGTATAGGAAGTTGGTAAAAAAATTGTTTAAATTTGATATATAAAAATGGCGACACAAATTGATGGAAAACAAATAGCGAACATGTTATATCATGCTGGAGTGGAAACTGTATTAACAATTGGGTATTCAGAAATAGGAAGAAAACTATTGAAAAAACCAGCACCAAAAGTAGATTTTAATATGGGTGATATTGGAATGTTATCTATTGATAATATTACTCGCAATGGCAAACAAAAGATATGTTGGTTAAGCAGGGTATTATACCAGCAGATATTATGAAGTAATTATTTTATTTTATTTATTTAAAAATGGCGAGTGCAGTAATAATGATGATTGGCGGTGCAGCGGTTAATGCGTTAGCCTTTTCGGGTAGTAA